AAAGTTCTTCAACAAGTATCCATTAATTATTTCCCCTTCTTTTGGCTGGATATATATATAGCATCCGTTTTCTCAAGTAGAGCTTAAATAGAAGAGACTATATACTAGCTTACATAACATTGTATACTACAATTAACATAATTAAGTCCAAAGATAGAGTAGAAATTAAGAAGTCATATATATATATATGAATGGGAAACTAAAATATATAGGTAGGTCAATCTACTGTCTGGATTTAGGAGCTTAACAATAATTCCACAAGTGATGATGCTGCTTGCTGTTAAGTAAGAATTTAAATCAAATTACAAGGGGCTGATTAATATTGACCAATGTATTATATATACATATAAATATAAATGTGTATAGTTCAGGTTACTTTGAATTTGGTCAGCTCATGGTTGACTCAAATACAAATATATTGGGCAGGTTGGAGGTTGTTGTAATAACACTTCCACTTCAATTATTAAAATCCAATCCCATTATTTATCAACTAATAAAACTAATAATGTTGGTTGTGGCAATTACTTAACTCTTTACAAGTTGCTAAATTTCAATTTTAGGAGCTTGTATATATAACATATGATCATGGCTATATATATATATATATTATATATATGCACTTTCTCGTTTTTTTTTTTTTTTTTTTTGGAATAACCCAGAACTCCCTACGAAGCGGCCCTTACGGACCCCAACATGTGGCACCAAACTGGAGGTGTAGGGCTGGCCCCCACCATACACCGGGTGAGTCGAGAGAATCTTAGCTGAGGGGAAGGCTCGAATCTTGGCCGAGTGATGACTTAAATCAACACCCTACCATCACTGCTAGGCCTCCGGGACCACTTCCTCGTTCATTCGGAGTCAACGTACCTTTTCTTTGATGAACATAGCAAGCATCAAATATGTTAGAGAAGCGGAAGTACTTGCAATTACCTTATAGTTGCACTGTCACTTGCATGACTGATTATGGTCCTTTTTTAAGAAATAGTATATATGTATCCTAATGTTTGTTTTCTTTCTTCTTTTCATACTAAGTGCCTTTTTGAGTTGCTAATATATAGTTGGTGTCTTTTCCATTCAAATTGTGGATGGTGGTATATATATATATATGTATATATATATATGATGATGATGATGAATCACACTAACAACTCCCTACATTATTTATTTAGCCACATCTTATTGACTTTTCTTTAAATAATTCTGATTTGTTGATGCTACTGCTGTCATTCACAAATAGTCATCACAATAATATTGTTGACCTTCCTCTTATAATCGAATGTGATCCATCTGCTGAAGCTATATATAGATATATATATATATATATATATATACATATATGGTCACTCAATAAGTATATTCTTCTAATTACCAATCCTAATGCTGTCCTATTATTGTTGTGTTTAATTTGTTGTCATATTCTTGAATTTTTGTTGTCCTTGTGTGGATGCATGCATATATGTGAATATATATATTTTTGTATGGTAAGGCTAGCTTCTTGTTGGATGGGATGACTTAATTTGTTCATGTATGCATGTGTGGACATACATGGTGTGAGGCATGCATATTGTTAGCTAAGTTTGGTAGCTAGCTACTTCATTTGTTTAAAAAGCTAGGGACCAAACTTTAACCCTTGTTAATTATAATCACACCACATCATACACTTCATCTCAGTTGCAATCCAAAGTGCAGTACACAAGAAATCACTAACAGAAACAGGTTCAAGAAGCAACACGTACTATTGGACTAATTGTATATTGAAGTACGTACTTGACCTTTTAACACTCGGGAAAGAAAAAAAAAAAAAAAAAAAAAATGGATTTTGAACATATTCTTGAAGATTGGAATCCATGGAATCGAACCAACATCACAAACAATACAAGAAATTAAAGGAGTTTCATAGCATGTGCTTAAAAAAGGCTAATGAATTGAGCAGTCCAAATTAATTGTAGATAGTCTCCTATGTTTGTCTTGAGACTAAAGTATAAATTAACCTCATATTGTGTGCACCTAAAGACACAGAAATTAACATATTAGAGGCTGTTCTGAGTTTAGTAACAAGCTAGACCAACCCCGGCCCCATGTAGTTGTGACATGAGTTCAAATAGTATTTAACAATTATAAGTGGTTTGTGACCTATAGAGATTACAAGGAAAGGAGAAGGAAGATGATTGTAAGCCAAGATCCATTCAAGGATACTATATATCTATCTATATCGAAGTAATAAAGATGATTTGCTACTTTTTTGTTGGAAAAGGATAAACTGGATCTCCTTAAAGAAGGGGTTAGATCTCCAAAACACAAGTCAATAGTAAAGATTTATCATATCAAAGCATTGGATTCTGTAATTTGCTAATTGACAGAGACAGATAGTGTATTAATTAACTCCATTTCATTTCTATCTCTATCTTTATCTTTATTTAGTTGAAAGTTGAAACCTCATAATGTTTGGGATAATGGCCGGTGTGTTGATCAGAAAAATGATGATGAGGATCAGCTCAAAGGAAGATGATGACAATGAGAAAGCTCCAAATACATAGAAAAAGTTAGTAAACCACTGAGCAAATGAAATGGGGGTTTTATCTTAAATCTCTAATTTTGTCATTATCAACAGCAAGTAAAGGGTCAAAATATTAATGTCAAAAGGTAGTTGGTGAGGGCCTCATTGGCTCTATTCCAAAGTGATGAGCTGGTTCTTTACCCCCCGAGGGCCCCAAGCCACCTTTGTTTGATGGCCTAACTTCACTCTACTCAATTTGCATTTTTTTTTTTAACTTCAAAAATTAAAAAACAAGTTTTCTTTTTAAAATATTAACCCCACCACTGGCCCTGGGAGTTTATATTATTATTAATTGACACCCAAGTCGTCCGTGGGAGGCAAAAGCAGTCTTCAAAAAAGATATGGTGAATTTCTACCCAGACCAAATAGTTGTGGACTAGATACATTTGATTGGACTTGTAAGTTTCTAACAATAATATGTTGAAAGTAGTATAATTTTTAGGGTACTTTCTTGAAGTAGTTCGTAAGTTTGTTTCGTGTCGATATAAGAGTGTTATACTAAATAGATAATCGTGTTAAAAATTCTCAATACTAACTCAATTCGTTTATTAAATAGATAAACGTGTTAATTTGTTCAATTCGTTTATTAAATAGATAAACGTGTTAATTTGTTTAATGACGTGTTTATCAAAACGAGACATTTAATATTTAATCAAATATTAAATAATAGAAAAAAAAATTGTCACAATTACCTCAAATATTCAAAATAAAAAGAAAAATCATAAAACATAGACAAGGTTTATGTTGGAATGAGTTAACTATACATAGTAATTGGGTTTAAATAGGTAACAAATTACATAGGTCATATTTACGATTATAACATGTTGAATTAAATGGGTTATAAACGGATTATACGGCCTGAACCCCTTAACCCTAACTCGACACGACTAAGTAAACGGGTTAATCGTGTCGACTCTTTTATGACCCAAACTCGTTTATGTCAAACCCAAACCCTTTTAACTCGTGTCATGTTATCGTGTCGTGTTGTAATTTGTCATCCCTAATAAATTATACCCAGTTAAGACTTTGACATCTATAACTTTGATTTCTCCTAAGTTTTGGACATTCAACAACAAAAATTTTTATTTTTGTTAATGACATTTGATTAGGTTTTTTTTTTTAGGGTTCGATTAGGTTTCTTATACATAAAAAATAGGTGTGATAATATAGTGTTTACAAGATGGAAAAAAAGAAGATAATAGTCTTTTAGTTTGACATTTTTTTTAAAATAAATTAATCTAGTATTAAATTAGATACGGGTATGAAATTTTTTACATTTTTAAAAGAGGTCAAAATAATAAAAACAAAACACTCCATCGGTATATAATTTATCCAAACTTAAATAAATATCGATATAATTTACCCAAATTTTTAACCTACTAACACCTTGCCAAAAGTTTAGACAGTCAAATTAATTCAAATATATGGGTTACCAAAAGATTCAGTACAACCTTCCTAGTTATGAGGGTGACGTGACTCTCCCGAAGGTTTCTGCAAATATTAATTTGCAGTTGGCATATGATATTTTACGTGAGCAAACGACTAAAAATACATACAATAGTGAGTGGGCCTCTTTCTTCAAAGTAAAAATGACTTGCACGTTGCAAAGTAGCATTGCCCATTATTTTAGTCATCGAAATGATAAATGATGTGATTAAAATCCAGAGAATTCTTAAGGCTTTGAGCAGACTGACCTGGAATCACTATCTTCGATAATCGATACAAATGTATACAGTATATATTGTTTTAGAAAATGATAGCATTGCGATCTATTTGAATAGATAATTGAGACGCAAAAAAGTCGATTTCACTCTTTTGTTATTAATCTTAATAAAATTAGAATTTGCACCGTAACGATTGTGAGACTGAATTTTTGTCAAGTACCCTGTTCAGCCTCTCTGCTGTTGGAGAGATTAAAAACCTTTTTATTTAATTTTTTTTAGATGGGTATGTATGGTAACAGGAAAAAAAAAAAAAAAATTTAGTCGTAATAATTTTTTTTTATTTTTTATATAATACAATTTTTTTGTTTTAAAAATAAACACAATTGTTTTTTAATCGTAATTATTTTTTGATATAATAAAACTTTTTACTCAATGCTAAAAATGTTTTACATACTTACCTAACCATTATACGTTATACTAACATCTTTGTGTCCGCTTTAATAGAATTGAGTACTAATTATTAAGTGATGGTTAAAAATTGAGATTTTTTGTTTTTGGGTATATTTTGTGGAGCATTTACTCCCATTTCATTTTTAAGATACTCAAAATTGCGATAAACAGTTCAAAATTAAGGGGAAACAGCGCCCAAATTTGACTTTTTTTTGGTTTGGTAGGCCAAGATTTGGTGGGAATTGTTTTTGGGTTTAGTTGTGTGTGTGTGTCTATATATACATATATACATATATATATCTATTGGACTTGCTCCCCATTGACATTTATCTTTTTTAGGGTTTAAGTAGTGTTTGTGGTCTTTAAACACGCGCGTTAGAAGTCCTTTCTTCTAAAAAGCACTGTGTGTGTGTACTTCCTCACTTTATTTTCACCTATGCAGCTGATGGTATTTCCTTCAAAGCTTTTAAATCTCCAAGTTTCTGCCGATTCTGGTCCTGGGTTTCCGAGAAACCTCCAAAAATGTTTAAAGCATTCTAGAACAAAATGTGGTGGTTCTTTTGTTAAGCACTTTGGAAACCACCTCTCTTTTTGAGTGATGGAAAGTAGCAAGAGAAGCACAAGAAGCAGACCCAGTTCAAGAATATCCAAACTGTGTTGTCCAGCTTTGTCTTTTTGGTCATCCCCAACCAATCGCCCTCCTGGTCTTCAACTTCTTACCAGCTAGTCTCATGAAATTTGCATTGATTGATTGTCTCTGTTTATGTTCTATCTTGTAAGATAGTCCCTTAAAAATTATGGAATTTCCAAGTTCTTTTGATGGGCTTTCAGGGAATTGTGAGTTTCAGGAGATTTTGAGAAATGGGTCGATGTCCTCCTCTTCATTGGTGCTAGATGGTGAGAGAGGAGAGCTTGTGAGGGCTTTGGTGAGGCCAGGACAAAAGGGGGCAGATAAGGCATTGGTGGCGTTGAGGAATCATAGCGAGGCGGAGAGACGGCGGAGAGAGCGGATTAATGGTCATCTCTCCACGCTTCGGAGCCTGGTTCCTGGCACAAATAAGGTGATTTTTGCTATTTCTGATGCTTATTAAATTTACTATTTTAGATTTCAATACGTCTTGTCATGCATTTATCTTTAGACTCAAGAAAATGATATCAATTTTGCCATTGAAGTAGAATTGTCATGTTCTACAGTATCTATGAACCCAACTAACAAATACTACTAAAAGTCATGGGAATTAACTTACAGGAAGATAATTGCTAATGGTGACTAGAATTATTTCTAATAATTATTTCGAGTTATAGCAAAGTATGATCAGTATTACTTACAGAAAATTAAATTATCCGGTAGAACAAAGAAATGCAGTTTTTTTTTTTGTCTGGTAATTTCCTGCCCAAAATTACTCCATGGGATCATCCCGAAGACGGGCTTGCATAGTTCACTAACTTTCCAAACACATGTTAGGTGTCATGTACTTTGGAAGAATTAGAAATTAAAAGTTCCTAGAATAGCATCCTAACTGTGAAGTAGCATCTGAACTTTGCAATTTAACAGTATGCAAAATATCATTAGTAGGATTTGTAAGTCTGAAATTGATTGCATAATAGTTGCACTTTGCCATTTTCATGTAGGGTGCAAACTTATAGTCTTCTCATATGTATAAGCGCTATTGTAGATGAAAATTTAACAGTTTTGACATTAAGCTGGAAGAGTTATGAGGTATTAATTCTCTATGAGCTAGGATCTTTATGGATGCCTCCAACTTTCATCTTGACACCTTTTGGGGCATATTTTCTTTAAAAACGTAAATGGGTGCTAAATACATCTTGGATTATTGTGTAGATATGAACAAAGTCTGAGGAGATGTGGGGATTGTTTTATTCTATAATTTGTGATTTTTTTTTTAAAAAAAAAAAAAAAAACTGAAGAGTATAACTTAAAGAAGCAGTTTTCTTTAAACATTTCTTTACATCAATAATTAACTCACAGGACTTTCCTGGATAATTTCGTCATGCTGCTTGGGGCTTGCAGTATACTGGGACCGGAATAGTCCCATCAAAATGTTGGGTACCCCTCTCATCATCTATATTTATATATTGATCATATATCTATGTAATTACTATGAGAGAAGAAAAAAAAAATTCAGTAAACATCAGTAATGCCGAAAAGTCCACAACGTAATTATTACACAACTAAAGGTGACAACATAGCCAGCCAAGTAGTATCACTATCTTCTTTGAGCCCCATTGTAAAATCAAAGTTAATCACCTGTATTAACACCCCCACCCCAAGTTTGTATCATTAATCGATTTATGAAAATGCCTTTAATTTTTTCCCTTGTTAATAATGAGAGTCTGCCTATGAAATGGTTGTAGGGCAGAAGCTAATATCAGTATTACATGTTAATCATGATGATCCCGGTATCTTGTTGCTGCCAAGAAACTTATGGCCGTAACAGTACTAGAACTTTACTGCTTCTGAGAGTATGTTGAAACAGTTGTTGAAATTGAATTACCAATTTATATTCCCAGATGGACAAAGCATCATTACTTGCTGAAGCTATCAACCGCTTGAAAGAACTAAGAAAAAATGCTGCGGAAGCCACTAAAGGTGTTCTCATACCGATGGACATTGATGAAGTAAGAGTTGAACAGGAGGATGGATCAGATGGAAGCTCTTTCTCTATCAGGGCATCCTTATGTTGTGATTATAGACATGAAATTCTGTCTGATTTAAAGCAAGCTCTTGATGCCCTCCATCTGAAAACAGTGAGGGCAGAGATTTCAACCTTGGGAAGCAGGATGATTAATGTTTTTGTGATAAATTGCTGCAAAGAAGAGAACATTAAAGATACTGAAGAATGCCAGCTTCTTGCAACTTCTGTTCGCCAGGCCATGAGGTCTGTACTTGATAAATTTTATGCTTCACAAGAGTTCTCATCAAGAACTTCACTTTCAAACAAGAGACGAAGAGCTTCTTTTCTCAATTCTTCAGGCTCATCTTCTTTAGACGATTTCTGGTAAAAAAGGTGATTTTAAATGATAATTTTCATTATTTTTGTCACTTTTCTTTGTTAATATGCTTTGGCGTACACAATGTTGATCCAGAAGTTTGTAGCATATATGACTTTTTCTTTTCAAACTCCAGAGGGTTTGTATGCAATTGTCATGTGCCTGATGATTAGCAGAGGGCTGAAATGTTGTACTTAATGAATATAAGCAATAGATAGTTGATGTTTGAGTTATTTTGGCAGCCAGGGAATATCTCATTTTCTACTGAATCACTTGTAAATTCCACAAGTGATGTGCATTGTTAGGATAATAGGTCCTTTTTGGTTTTCCACACTCCGTTAGAATTTGGGTTACACTCCCTTTGGTTTCTTTAGTGCATTTTACTTATCTGAAAAATGAATATGACTCGAAGTTCTTCTCTGATGCTCATGGCTTGATTATCATGACATGCGCTCGTCTTTTTTGTTGTCTTTGTACCATTCTCCCTCTTTGGATGGAACATGAGATGACGATGAAATAGGAACTTGTGAATCTAGTTTCATACCCATGATCTAATGTGTCCAAAAGTGATAGTTTGTTTTACACACATAAATTGTTGTTTATTGGAACATGTTTTCTGGAACTAATTAAATTTGATTCTTGTCAAATATCTGAAGTCGTTTGAAACATCATAGTCTTGTTTATGAGATGATAAGGGCAAGCGGATATGATTGCATTTATATGTTACGCTGCAGCAATCAGGAAGACCTTTTTTTTATGAAGAATTATGTTTCAGACTGGTCCTCTAGTACTGCAACATTTCTTTGTGTGGGCAACTAAGGCATTAATAGTTGTTCACAAATATTAAGAAAATTGCTTGGTCATGTGCAAAGGCAACTTTACTTGTGAGTCAATGCAACATTTATTATGAATTTGTAGATATCTGAAACCTGAAGCCACACTCTGAAAAACAGTGGCAAGAAATAGAGAGAAAAATATTAACAAAACTGAGGAGAACATTTTCAACTTAAACAAAATGTTCAAGCCCTGGGGAAACTGTGCAGGAAAATACCATCCGCGATCTGTTGAACCGAGCCGAATGTTTATAGTAATGTAGTGGAGCTCATGCATGCGGTGATAAAATTTCTCTTATATATTTCTTTCTTCTTCCTCTATGCTTCAAGTATGAAGATTCTAGTGAGGCCCCCAATTCCCTCTCCATCCGTAGCCTGCTTGAAACCCGAGTTTATGCATTTGATGTCTTTAGGATTCTTATGGACATACTTGAGTTAAAGCGTCTTGGTGGCTAGTTAAAAGTGAAATGGTGAACTGATTTTATACCAGTTGGAAGATTTGGTTGATCCAAGGTGACACAAATTTCAAAAATCAGGTTTAATTTGAGTCCAGCTTCTTCCCACGTACCCTTCTCAGAACACTGTTTTGAATCCGGGAAAACTATATTAAGTTATAACCCAGTAATTTGATCGGTTGGATGTTCTTTTAAGCCCTTTTGTTATTTCGTGAGTTCGGATGAAAGAAATGAATAAATATGAAAATTTGGAAAATCAAGTTCTAAGAAATGATACAGAAATTCCAATAATAACAGATGAGTTCTTAACAACAACTAGCTGAGTATATGGTCCCTGTCCAGGACAATTTGACCTTGGTTTCATCAATCCAGGGCAAGTTGGCATATTTTTCTTCTTTAGGGGAATTGGAATTAGAATTTCTTTTTTCAATCGATCAGATAAAAAGAACAGAACACATTATGAAACGTCATGCAGCAAATGCATTTAAAATCTAAACAAAAAAAACTCTTCCTTCTTCTAACTTTTGCTTCTGTAAGATCTGTACCACAGAATCATGAAACAAATAAATCTGTACCCAAAAATAAAACCCAGCATCACAAGTAAATTGCTCCATTGCTGTGACTCCTTCAAACCTTGCTGCACCATGAAACCATCACCATACAGGAGGCATACTCCTTCCACACTTTCCAAGCATCTCCTTTTCCCTTTCTCTCCTCCATATTCATTTATTAAAAAACACTCAAATGGGTACTTAAACAAACTCAAGTAATGCATGAAAATCCAGAAGCTGGGTATGTCCTGTTTGGATATGAAATACCCAGAAAAGAGAAAGAAAGACCCCATGAGCCCCGCAGTCAGAGAGCTTCCCATGATAAAATTTGGCACCAGTGCGCCACAACATGCCACAAAAGAATTTGAAACCAGAACAACTATCCAAACCACCAGAGAGAAATATAGAAATCCATCAATATCTGGCCTCAATCCGACTAGCCAGTAAACTGGGATGGTGTAGAGAAGAGCCACTGCTAGAAGGAAAGGAAGGAACACAAGTGTATTTGAGATAACGTAAGAAGAGACTCTATAAGCTCCTCTCGAGGTCTCCCTCATTAAAATTCTCCTCTCCTGCAAAAAAATTGGTAGAGCTTCTGTTGTGGGAGACAGCAAGAAGGCGAGACTGAAGGCAAAGAACCCAAGTTTACTTTGCAGCTTAAATCTCTTTGGATCATTATTCACGTTCATAAATATCGTCCCTAATAGAACCCCTACCAACACTGCTTGCATTATTCTTGCAGCAAACAGCTGTTTTGTTCTAAAAATGTTACTAGAAAATCTCTGGCTCAGTATTATTACCTCATTAATTCGAGAATTGGGGTAAAAGATGTGATTTTCTTCTATGTTACCCAAATTAGAGATTTTCATGATGTGATCATATTCTTGTCCAGTTTCACTGTCTTTGATATCGTTTTCTTCCTTATCTATGGAAAGGCTTTCTATGGCGAACTCGAGCACATTGACATGCCGAGGGATGAAATGGCCTGCAAACTTGAGTCGCTCCTCTAGGAGGTTCAAGGATCCATGGTGGAGGACAATTCCATTGGATAACAACACAACTGTATCAAAAAGCTCCAGAATTCGAAAGCCAGGTTGATGAATGGTTAACACAATTGTCTTACCTTGATTCTTGGCCATAGACTGAAGCAGCAAGACCACATTAAGAGCTGATGCTGAGTCCAATCCTGATGTTGGTTCATCAATCAGAAGAACAGCCGGGTCATGAACTAGATCAACACCAATTGAAACCCGGCGCTTCTCACCACCTGAGATGCCTCGACTTGATTCACTGCCGATTTTTGTACCAGCAACATGGTCTAATCCAAGCTCCTTCAACAGCTCCCTCACTCTAGCTGCAGCCTTGTGAAGGCCCCCCTGCAGCCTGAGACGTGCGCTATACATGAGCGTTTCTTCAACAGTTAAAAGTGGGAATAGAGCTTCATCTTGTGTGACATATCCAGATGTTCTCCGGAAATGTGTAGCATCCATTGGCTGGTCATTTACAAGTACTTGACCAGAAACTCTACACGGCACAATCACCCCAGCGAGAATTTCCAACAATGTGGTCTTTCCTGCCCCACTTGAACCAGCAATGGCAGTGATTTCCCCTGGTTTGGCTTCACAATTTACATTCTTCAAAATGTACTTTTTTGTATTGTTTGTCACCTCACCCCAGAACACCCAATTGATCTCACAATATCTTGGTGATAATTTGTAGGACAAATCCTTGGTTCTTATTCTATATTTGGTTTTCCGGCCACCGGCTTTCGGTGCCTTCACTGGTAGGTCCATGGAGAGGTGGAGAAGGGATTATAAGATGTGTTGGGAGGACTGAGGAGGATGGTGAGCTAACACACCAAACCGGCCCTTCTTTATGCACACACTGGTCACCACAGAGGTGATGTTATATTTGCATGCATGTACTAGGCAAGTCAAGCCCCTCTTCTGATGTCTTTGATATATTTCTATGGGTAAAAGGGTGCCAACAGATTGACATGATCTTTATCATGATTACTCAATCAAGGTGGTGATTACCATATGATTTCAACTTGGTGGGAGCCACTTTTTACAAGGACAGTTGGTATTTGGTCAGATGAAGCATGATTTGTGCAACTATTGTATCATGGTTTTGTTGGGGTTATTGACAGTTTCAAAACTTTGTAATGGAGGTTCCAAAATGCTTTTTCTGTTGGAGTGTGTACTTTGAGCCAGGATAGGTGTTGGTTGTCTCATCCATCACCACTTCACAGTTGAGGCTGACAAAGTAAATTAGCAGTTACTTCTATGATCTATCTATCTATGAGCAGCAGTTACATTAGGCTTTGATGATACCAAGAAGTGTGGATAAGGCTTTTAATGAGCTTCCACCCCATTTACTTTTTGTGTTGAGTCTGTGGACCATGTGATAGGCGAAACAAACAGGTTTTAGGTTTAGGTTTAGGTCTTTCATTTTGGAACACAATCCAACTTTGCTTTTGAATTCTGGAAGCCCACTTTTGCATTTAATCATGATTTTAAGATGAGGTATGGTTTTGGAGATGGACCAACCGAACAGACGGTTTGTTTGGTATGATGGGATTTTAATGAAATTTGAAGTTTTATTTCGTTACATGTCTGCATATTATCAATTTGGCATGTCCACTGATTAGTGTTGAGGAGGACTAAACATATGACCAGCCTTGAACAAAATGTCGACATTATGATTTGTTCTATCAAAAAAGGAAAAAGAAGAAATGCAATTAAATATGGTTTATTCGGATGAGTTTAAGTTGTTCGAGTTTGATCCACAACACAAAACCATTCTGAGATAAACAATTTGTAATGCATACATATAAACTTACCTAATTATTCTTACTACTGTACACATGATATTCATATGCACAAATAATTAACTATATGTTATGAAAAGGAACACATTTCAAAACTATATCCATAGATTTAATTAGAATAGAAATAAACACTTTTTATTAAGGGTCTAAGCGTAGAAAATACTCCTACATATCACACTCTTTACATACAAAAAATATCTTTAAAATTTCAATTTAGTGCAAATAGGTCTCTCTGACAAATTAAAATCCTAAATTGACTAAATTAATAATTTTATAAAATATATAAAAATAAATAATTTTGTAAAATGATACTATTGGAGGACACTCCTTACGCGCAAAAAACACACATTAAGTTTCAAATAGGCCCATCTGACAAATTTAAACCCTAAGTTGACTAAATTACCCTTATTAAACCAATTTATAAAATATATGAAAATAAATAATTTTTTAAAATGATTGAAAAAGACACTATTGGAGGACACCGACAATGGACAAGTAAAGATAAAAATATAAAATAAAAAATAAAAAAAAAAGTATAAAAGCAAAGAAAAGATAAAAATAGAAAATAAAAAATGAAAATAAATTGCAAACTAAATAAAACAAATCTGCTTCAAACTCCGAAAACCGAAAATCAGTGCACACTGATATTGTGATTTTTTTTTTGAAAAAAAATAAAACAAAGAAAAAAAAAAATAGTAGAAAATAGTAAATTGAAATATCAACAAATTCAAATCCTTATTTTACAAATTCTCAAAGTTTTTTAAAAAAAAGTTTAGAAATATACCTTGAGAAAAAAGTTTCAAAAAAGAAAAAGAAAAAAGAAGAAGGTAATGTATACATAACACTCCTATACTATGAGATTGGTAGCATATATACCCCTTGGGCATTTCAAAAAAGTAAAAGAGCAAAATGGGTATTACAATACTAATTTATGTCAGGAAGGGTATTTTTGCACAATGTGAAAAGTTAAGAATATTTTTTACATATTCTTTTAAGTAAGGGATAAAAGTGCTACGCAAAGTATACTTTAGAAGTATTTTCTGTAGGTATCCCTTTCATTTGGCTTCGTTTGGATACACAGGAGAGAAAAGAAAAGAAAAGAAAGGAAAGGAAATGATAGCTATAATTTATATTCATGTTTGGATAGATAGGAGAGAAAAGAAAGGAATTGATAATATTGTTGTTTGGATAACATAAAGGAGAGAAAATAAGGGAAAGGATAATTTTTTTCTCTCTCTCTCTCTCTATCTGCAACTGCAAACTATATATATATATATATAAATATATCTTCTATTTTATGTATTCCTCTCTCTCTCTCTTTATATATATATATATATATATATATATATATATATTCTATTTTTCAAAACCCATATACAAGAATCAGAAGCTCAAAACAAGAATCAGAAGTTCAAAACTCATATCTATTCCTTTCTCTCTCCTCTGCAACTGCAAACTACAAAATCTACAAGAATCAGTTTGTTAAAAAAATCAAAACCCATATCTATCAGTTTCCATCACCGCTGTTCCAGCTCGGTCGCCGTTCGCAAAGCTTCAGCCGATCCGCTGTGTGATACCTCTCGAATCCGAGACATGGGTTGATCAGGCCCAAACCCGAGGGAATATCAGACAATTAATATATAAATGAACACAGAATATAAAAGATTTAAGAATTAAATAATAAAACAAATACTCTGATAAAAATGATTAAATATAAAATCCTTAAAATGATAATGAATAATAATAATCCAATTCTCCAATACCTCCAAGTGTACAACTCGGGAATCCATCTAGTGGACCCCTAAACAAAATCCCAACTGAACTGGAAACTGAAAATAAAATCCCAAACTAAAACATAGAGAGAAATCCTACGTAAATAGATGAATGAGTGACTGCCTCCGACAAGCACGATCAAGCTCTAAGGCTGGAACCCTCCTGTACCTGAAAAGAATATAAGAGTGGGTCAGGCCCATGAATAAGTTCTAATCTAACTGCAATCCATACAGTGACCTGATACGCAGATACATCTTAGATATCTAACAATATCTATCTAGTCCATAAATACATATATATCCACACTAAGGGACATTCACTGGACTACAAAGGGGTCTCAACCTGTAGAAGGCAACATGCAAAAACGCAGCCAAAGGTGGGCATGAGTGTAATACCCCGATAATTTTAAAAGATTTATTAATTATGATTAATTATTTTATTTTATTTTTCAATGATTTATTTTATTTTATTGAGTGCTAGATTAATTATCTTATTTTAATTAAGTTATATTTCGTGATTATGTATGATGATTGATTGTTTGTGTGGTTGATTATTGATTGAATTATTGGTGTGTTGATTTTATTGGTATTATATGACTTAGTTGTAAATTCTTGTTTGTTTATGTGCTTCATGTAATTAGTTATTTTAATTTCTGTATTTAATTAATTATCTTATTTATTTAAATTAATTGGATTGGGCTTAAGGAAAGTTGGACCAAAAGATGTGGTCTTGGGCTTGTATGAAACCTTATTGGGTTAATTAATGAAGGTCCGTGGTTATTTAATTATTTAAATGATCACTTTTGTATCAATTATATATATATATATATATATATATATATATATATAATTATATATAAATATAATTAATTAATAATTGTTATGGAAAGATATATATATAGATATATATTTATTGATATTTATAAGTATATATGATTTAATTAACTAATGAGTTAATTATGGAAGGAATATATATTTATATATAATATATGTTTATAGATATAAATTATTTAAAGGTTATTTCTTTAATTCATAATACTAGTTGGAATAGGATTTATAAGTATATATGATTTAATTAACTAATGAGTTAATTATGGATGGAATATATATTTATATATAATATATGTTTATAGATATAAATTATTTAAAGGTTATTTCTTTAATTCATAATACTAGTTGGAATAGGATTTATAAGTATATATGATTTAATTAACTAATGAGTTAATTATGGAAGGAATATATATTTATATATATATATATGTTTATAGATATAAATTATTTAAAGATTATTATTTTAATTCATAATACTAGTTGGAATAGGATTTGGAATTTAAGGTGTATAAAAATACACATAAGGCTTTAGGGTTAAAGGTTTTACACGCTAGAAAAATAAAACAGACAGAGAGAGAGGAAGAAGAAGGGCTGACAAGGAGGAGGTCGGATCTGAAAAGGAGGACGTCGGAATTGGAAGAGATAATTAAAGCTTAAAGCGTCGGTTTCGTTTCGAAACCTTCAGGCGAGTTTTCTCTAACTTTCCTCTTAGAACTCATAAGGATTTCACCTTGAGTATCAAGGCTTTAATTAAATTTATTTGTTTAAAAATTATGGTTAGATCGGAATAATTAAAAAGTATAAACTATTATATTTGATTTTTAGATTATTGGATTTTAATTGATATATATAGGTGTTATGTATATTTTAAAATCAATCTATAGGTGGATTTGTGACCCAAGAGAGTTAATTATGGTTTCTTTATTTTCTAGAATTGTTCTGTAATTTTCTGGAATTTTTCTGATATTTTTTAGGAATTTATTAGGATTTATTTTCCTATTATTTGTTAGGAAAATAATTATATATATATATATATATATATACTAGGTAACTGGCGCATGTGGAGCGGCGGCACAATAAAGAATTGATCCAGTGCGGCGCGGTGTAGGATAATAGGGTGTATACGCCAATTAGGGCCATTTGATTAATTAAACTTATGTGAATTGATATGGTGCATCGCGGCGCATAAAACTTTGGTGCGCATGTGTATCTGGACCATAGAAGTGGTCTGGTCAACTATGGGATTATTTGGTGTATTGCAGACCATGAGAAGATGGTGCACTCGCTGATCTGGACCTTAGATCTATTATAGTTAATAGAAAATAATCTAGTGTGAGCGTGTTTATTTGCGCACTCATTTATGACCATTGGATGCGGCATAAAGGAAGTGATGGATTCAGTGTAGTGAGCTCACGGTAGCTGAAAGAGCTTAGCCAATACCAGCACAGAAGGAGGCTTGAATCCAGCGCGTGCAAGTGCATAGTAAGCACTTGGGCGCGCGTGGGAAACTATGTTGGCCTAATTCGACACTAGAAATTAAAACAGTCATAACTTAGTCATTTTAAATCGAAATTGGGTCATTCTTGAGCTCAAATTCAAGGATTTTTCGTCTTCTTTCCAATGGTACCAATTTCATTATCAGATTCCCATCCTACTAGGAAATATTTATGTTTTAGTGAGAAAGTGTCGGAAAACTATTTAAACCAATATGGAGTATTTAAAGGAAACTATTTCTGACATATTTAGTTGCACTAATTTGTGTAAATATAATAAATTAATAATTTGTTATGGAAGGAAGTGTATATATATATATATATATATATAAAATTATTTATATATGTGTATATATAGTTTAATTTGTCTATGAGTTGTATGGAAGGATGAATATATATATATGTATGTATGTATGTATATTGATTTTAAATAATCAAGGATTATTAAAGAAGGTGTTAAACACATAAATACATTAAATAACATATGTGTAGGTATATATATATATATATAAATCATTAAGATGATTAATATTATCATTCTTATTTGGCATATCTTAATAGGCTGGTTGTTAAATTAATAATATGCGTATAATATGCATGTGATGACTATGTATGATTTCGCGTATTGTTAATTTTAAAGTTAATTCATGGTTAAAGTGTGGGCATGGATGAATTGTCAAATGATTAAATATATTACTTAAATATTTGTATGAATAGAATACATATATGGAAAGTATGGATGAATTGCTAATTAAATGTATGAATAAATATACCTGTGGAGGCATGGTTGAATTGCCAATGTATAAATATACATACACGGAGGCATGGTTGAATTGCCAATGTATAAATAAATATACTTATGGAGGCATGGTTGAATTGCCAATATATAAATAAAAATATTTACAATGGCATGGTTGATTTGCCAAAGCATAATTACGTTGTTATGTGTTAGATGATTAAAATATCATCTATAGTTGTTGTATGTATGGATTGGATTAGGGTTAGATATTCTTAAATGAGAATAGTTTAGTACTTACTGGTTAGTGTATTATTTTACATTAATAAAATAATATTGGGGAAGACGTGGATGATTTGTCAAAACTTGGATTTTGGATATGTGATTTAAACAATTAAAATCATTATCGGGTTGGGATTAAATAGAGTATTTCTTTTATTATAATTTGTTATTTAAATGATTAGACAACTGACTAGGATGGGATTAAGGTCAAAGGAGTTTTTATAAAATGAAATGGTAGATTGGTCTAGGTATGAATATTATTTTAATAATTATTTAATAGGTATGGAAATTTAATAAACCTATTAATGGATGTGATTAGTATAGTATATATAATTATATATAGACATGTATATCGTGCTTTATTAAAGTTAAAACTTTATTAGGTTTGGTTTTGATCAGAGATGATCTGCTTATTGGTTTTCAGAGGCCTGGTAGAGTGAACTTGCTCGTAGGGTTTAACCCACGATTTATTTTTCAGGTTATTAGAGGTTCCAGTCTCGAGGTTGAGGATCCGCAGCTGGGAGACTGTCATTCGTCTATTCATCTTGTGTACTTTTAAATAGTATTGGATTATTGGATAATGTTTTAAGGGGTCCTTGAGTTATGGGATTTCCGAATTGTAATTGTTGGAGAATCATTAAGTAATATTTATTTATTAGTTTTCTTCAGCGGTTTATTTATTCTTTATTATTCATCTTTGTATTCTGTGCTTGTTAAATACTTAAATTGTTTTGATATCCCTTGATTTTGTGCGCGGACTTGATCAATCCGTGTTCCAAAATTAGGGGGTATCACAATGAGTACCTAGACCTAACAGGGTACACCTCCACCTATCATAGCCAGCTACGCATCCACTGCATATATGCACCCTAATGTACGAGTCTGAGACTCAAGCTCATCTCGTGATACCATAATCATATATTTAAAATCCGTTCTAAGCCAGAATATATCATTCAATTGTTCATTGATCTGACACACGATTTATAATTCAGTTAGTTACTCAACTTATTCAGTTGATATGACTTAACTATAATCAATAGTTAATCCATGTAATCACTCAACTTACTCAGTTGATCTGACCTAAATATAAGTAGGATTCAATGTTTACAGTCCATTCCCTTATTCCCATAGGGTAGGTCTTAGCGTTCTGTACTAAACCATCCCTAGTATGCCACCGTCCCATACTGATGCATACAATCCACATCATCCATGTAAATTACAGAACCTAAATATCAGTTCAGCAATTAAAGTTCAAAACCTTAATCCAATTCAAAACCAAAATCCACGTAATTGCAGAATAGTGTATAATATTTTAGCAATTAAAGTTCGAAACCATAATCCAGTTAATTACAGAATAGTGTATAATATTTCAACTATTAAAATCCAAAACCATAATCCAGCTCAAAACTATTATCCAGTTAATTGCAGAATAGTGTAAAACATCTCTGCAATTAAATCCAATCCTTTATTCATGTAATTTGCAGAAAAGAATTAATATTTCAGCAATTTAAAATCCAGAGCATGCATAGGTCAAATCTATTAATTAAATAACCCTACTGTGCATCTAAAACAAGATTTAAAATCATACCATAGCTCATTAAATCACCAAATTAAAATTAAACAATTAATTTCCTTCCAACCGTTAACAACATGCAAAGTTGTTAAATTGCACAATGTTAATTCCATTAATATAATGGGGTAACTTATGCAATTAGAGACCTTGATAACACCTAAAGTTAATTATTAACCCCCAGTAAAGTCCCAAAATTAATCGGAACGATCTAAGCGTCCAAACAGTATCAAACAGTATCGTCAGAAAAGTCCAGAAAGCGCAAACATGAGAGAGCTTGCTCCATGAACTCGGGAGCAGGCTCCCTAATGCATGGAGCCGGCTCCATGCTTCTTGGAGCCGGCTTTAACGGGGTGGGAGCCGGCTCCCACTTCCATGGAGCTGGCTCTCTCCCTCTCTGAGAGCCTCCAGTCCAGTTCTCCTCCGTTTCTGACCATCTGCTTCGTCTCCGGCCATTCCAACTCTTCTGTTCCTCTTCAATACTGAATCTAAGAGTCTTATTTATATCCAGTAGCATCCCAATGACTTGTTTACAACAGTTGGAATTAATTACAGTGATTAAAACCGCGACCGATTTAACATGCTTAAAAACCAAACTGAAACCCAGACTTGCAAGAACTGTAACAGAGTTAATTCAACGCATACAGAAAATTAATTTAACACATAATAAATATGCAAGATTCAGTTAATGTCCAATTAAACTCTTAAAGACTATCTAGGTGTACAGAACACAGACCAACGGGAGAAAGAAAGAAAATAACTTGCTTGTGATTTCAATTATGAAATCTCGGCGTCGTCTCTAAGTTCCCGGCAAATACTGAATATTGTCAAGCCTCCTACTGCTCCGGCTCTAATCCACAATCAACCTCCTTGGTCCTCTCTGTTTTCCTCATTGGTAGCCCTTACGGTGCCTCTGTTCTCTCAACCCTCTCTCTATTATGTCTCTGCCTTCACTGTGCCGTGAATAGGGTTCTAAAACCCTAGGCAAACGTATGGTAACTATTTATAAACAACTACAATACCTAAGTCCAATTAAAACCCTAAATTGAAACTTAATCGGCCCATTCGTGAACTCTAATTTAAAACTATCACCATTACATTAATTTAATCTAATTAAAACAATTTAAAGAAAAGATAAGAAAAATATAATTTATCCATTAATGAAAATAAAACACAATTTACCAATTAATGCAATTCAACCACCAATTAAACACATAACGATATTTAAATATACGAGTAAATGTAAACAATTAAATAAAAATAAATAATAAAACAAGGAAACAATTTAGCACATAAACAATTAATCAAACAAAACTGCAATAAAATCAGAATTAAAATGCCGAGACTATCCTTTTAAAATTAGGGGTATTACACGCTGTCTCTCAACTCTTAAGCTTACCCCTTCTGTAATTTGTTCCATTTTTCTCTAAATCCCTCCAAATCTTATCAAGCTTGCCCCTCCCAATCATTTCTTTTTTCTCTTATTCTTTCCATCCAAATACCCTAATCACTATCTTTCCCTTTCTTTTCTCTTCAAATCCCTCGATCCAAACAAAGAGGGTTAAATTGATGACATCCCTCTTATTAAGAAAGGAACGGGAGGGTCAAATTGATGACGTCCTTAGTGGAGGTTGCTCAAATATTGGGCCTGATGCGTGTAATGAGTCCATTAGAATTCTGTGGTTAACAGAGGCTCAACCAATTGTAGCCCAAACTATAGTGGGGGCCCAATAACCCACCGAGTTTTTGTTTTGATTTCATATAACTATTTGGATCATAATCTAGGTATATTCTTGTCCACCTGTCAAAGTTCCGCTTGCAGAAGGCACAGTGAACTCCGTCTCTACGTTTCTGATTCCTGTAAAGTTTTCTCTCTCTCATGTATTTTCGTCTGTAGATTGATTTTTGAGTTTTTTTTATTAGACCTTGATTTCTCCAGCTTTCTGCTTCTGGGTGTTCATATGTAATTCTCTATGCCTTACTTTTATAGAATTCTGTGTATATCATTTTATATCTCTATATATTTTGTGATATTTCTCGACCACTATATGTGGGTTCTGGTTTTTTAATTTAGTTAAACATTTCATATTAATCTCTGACAAGTTTTTGGTGGTAGAGACTTTATTTGCTTGTACTGTAACAGCTCTATCCTTCTTATTATAAGCCTAATCTGAAAGGATGCTACTTTTTTTCTTCTAAGAACCCTAGAATTAGGGATAAAGCAGTTTATATGTTAATTGCCCAGAAATCCCCTGACCTATAAAAATTCGGCTCTGGTAAAATAAGGCAACTACCTTATCATAATTAGGTGGCTGTTAAGTGTGTAAATTACGACTGCCCTTAAGGTTAATTCTACAAATGGCCCCTGAATTATAAGAAATGTGTACAGTATTCCCTGGTACCGTTGGTAGTATGCAAATATTCCGTTGGTAGTATGCAAATATTTTAGAGTTCATGGACATTTTATGCAATTAATTTAAAAGAACGATCCGGATTTTCAAATAGTCCCGTCCTTTGACTGTTATTTCTTAAAAATAACTTGACGGAAGGGGATGTCTTGCAATTTTTTTGATGTTTAACGTTATCTGCAAAATGTTTACTACAAGGGTGATATGCAGGGGGTTTAAATTGAAGCACTAGATAAATTTTAGCATTGATTAGGCTCGTAAGGAATATTGAATATAAAGCCTGCATAAACTGACATGAAATGTTCTACATTTCTGTTGGCTCAACCCTACTTCCATTGAATTGAATAATGACTACCATCAAGGATTGTAGCATACTTTTTCACTTTCCAAACTCCAAAGTAGAAAGTAAATGGTTCAAGTCCCCATATTGGCAAAAGTGGGGGTGTGAGTTTCTTGCCTATGTAATAAATAAATAAATAAAAATTGAATAATGCCTGAACTGAAGATTGTAGTAATGGTGTTCTACAGAGTGTTTCATTTTATAACAGTGTTTAGTTTGTGGGGTGGGACTACATGAAATTGGTCATTGAAATTCTTTTAACACTTTACCATGTAAACTATTTTAATCAGTTGCTGCTGCATTTCTTTGTTCGAATCTTTCTGGTCTATATACAAATTACGTCTACCTAAGCTAGGATATCATACATAGTTCAGTGAAACAACTGCATGCCTTGATAAAAAAAAAAAAAATCATCTGAATTTCTGCAGTTGAAGAGTAGCATCATCTCGGAGTAGGAATTAAATAAAATCACACAAAAGTGGAGCAACTATCCTGCAAGGTTACCTTATGATGACTATGGAGTTTAAAGGTATCACTTGGGTTGGGGGTATATATCAGAAGTTCGAAGCTATGTGCTTGGAGGCAGAAGAAATTATGTACCAGGTATGTACTTCTCCATCTTTAGTGATCTAGCCTTGAGCCTATCCCATTTACTAGGCTTCCGTCCAGTCCTTATGAGTCACAAGGGTATTCCTGAGGCTCCATTCTTTAAACTCCGCAAGTGCGGAGGTAGCTGCACATCACTACCCTGCAAGGCCAGTGCTTATATTATTGTTAAAAGATCATAGTAGTACAACTATGATTGCAACAACCATATTACCCCTTCCTCTCCGAGTCTCCTCTCAATTACTAGTATTTTCTCTTGAGATGGTTTTTCTTTACAATCTTTATAGATCTCACTACATTCCTTTTTCTTCCCTGAAAGAGATTAATTATTATCCTCTATGCGAATCCTTCTGTCTGTTTGATTTTGATATATTTCATGCGATACTCATTCGCATTATGTGGATGTATTAAGATATATACTTTTACTGAAGCTGGCATTTTTTTAATCACAACATCACTTATTTATTTGGGTAGGACACAGTTAAGTATGTTGAAGATCAGGTGCAAACGGTCGGTGAAAGTGTCAAAAAGTTCTATTCAGATGTTGTGCAAGATTTGCTTCCTCCATCTTCTACAGATCCTCTGGAAGTGACTGCGGCTGACTTGTTTCTGAACCCATATGCTGATGTTGGGATATATAAGAAGCCAAAAGTAAGCATCAAGGACGATCCTATAAAGGTTGATAAGCAAGTAACTAAGCCAAAATCAAGCATCAAGGAAGATCCTACAAAGGTCGATAAGCAAGTAACTAAGGATTCTGAAGTGAGTACTGGTTGGGATGCAGACCGTTTATCATCTTTCAGCAGACTTTGTGATTTGGATCAGTTTCCACCCACATCTTCTGGGAGTTCCGTTAAAGAGGCGTGCTCTATTGATGAATATCTTTTTGGTATCAAAAGGAACTCCAAAAAGAACTATCAACCTTCATCTGAAGTGACAAGGTCAATTGCTTCTGTATCAAAAGATTCGAGCAGGTCTTCGTTGTGTTATAAAATAAGTGAAAATCATGATGTAGCTTGTGACCAGATAGCTATGATATCAAACCCCACTTCAGTTGAAGTTACACACGACTTTGGAGGAGGGAAAACTTATAATAGTATTGCGGGGGCAACTTCGTCTCTCACGGATGCTTTAATTGACCTCCCAATGTCTGATATGATTCTATCAGTTGAATCCAGTAGGAATCAAGGACCAATAGTGAGAAGTACTTCCTCTGCTGATGGAACTGATTGCTTAGCAGTAGAATCAAATGGTGATTACATACTGGCTGTTTTATTTGCTTATATTTCTGACTTCCTCTAGTTGCAGTTTCTTAACTTCCTGTTTTGGCAGCTGCAAACACATGTACGAACAGTGGGTTGGTTTCAGGGTCATACACTACTAAGGATGCACAATATGGTGAATCTGCTGGTGGGGTGCTCTTTACGTCCCATACAGGTATTGTTGTCTCAAATGTTTGATGTGGAACTTCACTTTCTTGTCGTTGAGTAAATTAGGAAAAGGAGAACATTGAGGTTGGATCATCTTATTTTGTTTTGTAAGTAATGCATAAAAGAGATGATGAATGAAGAAATTTATGAAAAAAAAAAAGAGATGATGAATGAAGAATTCATAATTGATCTCAGTAGCGGGAACCAAAATGATTTTCAAACCTCCGTATATCTGTGGAAGGAAATGCTGCACCATTATATTGTAGTAGTTGCTGGGCACTACTGCCTAGAAAGGACAAATGCTTCTAAAATGAAGCCGTATCCGTGTCGGGCATGTGTTGCATAAACACTTCTAGGACTGTTCTCTGCTTGTGTTCGCCACATATTGGGCTCTTGACAACATTTTACCATTGAACCTTGTACGTCGGTTTTGATTTTGCTTTAGCATAAAAATAAGGGTTTAATTCCAGAAATAAAAGAAGTTTAATTTTAGTAATAATCAAAAGGAAAACTACACATAGTTAGAATTAGGAGCCCAAAATAATAAAAAAAATTGATCAGTTTTAAAAGTTAATATTCTACTTTGATTAGATTAAACAAATTAATTATAAATACATCAATATTTATTGCTCAAATCCACTTATAAAAAAAATTTTATTGCTCAAGTCCAAAATATCCTCACTCTTATATCAAAATATCCTCTTAAAATTATATAATTTCAATATAATAAAATAAATAATTAAAAATTAGTTTGACTACCAAATAATAATTCTCTATCACTTCTTTCGTCATCAATCAGCCACCAATATCCAGAGACAGCACCACCCACCTTCCTTCTCTCTAGATGCTCTCAAGGTCTTCTACTTCCTCCCTCCCTCTTTCTCTCTCTCCACACATATATATAAATCGGTCCGGGCGAACTACCCTGGCGAGATCGCCGACTCTCTGGCCGGAACCCTCACTCGTCATCAAATGGAGATGGTGGGTGTTGGAGAGCGTGTCATGCGGAGTCGACTCACTAAGTCAACCCACCCACCCGTCCGATTCGATTTTTCTGGGTATGATGTGAAACATTAGCAGATTCTGCAGAGACTTTAGATTCGGAGGCTTGAGCAGGAGGCTTGAGCAAGAATTGTAGGAAGTTCGAGTCAAGGTGATGGAGATTGTTTGGTGGTGATAGCCTCGGCATCAGATGTGATTCCGGCGGCCCACAGACGAATCCACTTTTCTGATTTATATTGACTGCAACTCCAATGAACAAACGATTTCTCTCTCTCTCTACGTCACCTTCATCGCTTTCTCTCTCTAAAGCATATGCTTGAATGGCTTGATGTTTATGCATAGAGAAGGAAGAGAATGAGATGGAGTTCTGAAACCGTTCGCAATCCGACGTGGAGTCTCCGCTTGGTTATTGTGTGATTTCGGCGACGTGGAATCTCTCACGTTCTTGAATTTTCCGGTTGAAGACGGCGTTGAAACAAGGTGTTATTTTTAAGGGAACAATGTGGTAGATCTCTGACCGGATGTACTGGCACAGAGTGTTTAACTGAGAGGAGCCAGATCTGACAACCAAAACGAAAGGCATATGGATATTCCAATACTTCCCATTATAGTTTAATTTAGGTAGCAATTGAAAAATCTTCTATGTGATGTCCATCACTGTCATATTTGTGAAGCTTCCCTTTTCAGTTCTTACCTTTCAAATTAGATGCCATCAATTTCAAAGGCAATCCAAAGTACAGTCCCTCCACGTTAGTGACTGATTGATGACAAAGAGAAGCGATAGAGAATTTTTATTTTCTAGTTAAATTAATTCTTAATTATCTATTTTAATATTTTGAAATTATATAATTTTTAAAAATGTATTTTTTTATTTTTGGAATAAGAGTGTGAGGACATTTTTGACCTTAGCAATAATTCTTGATTTATTTGTAATTATTTTGCTTAATTCAATCCATGTGAAAAATCAACTTTTAAAATTGATCAACTTGTTATTTAGAGTTCCTAATTCTACATATGTGTAGTTTTCCCATAATCAAATCGAAGGTTTTTAAAAAATTATAAAAAGTTTGATCTTGTTTGGGGGGGGGGGGGGGGGGGACTGAAGTAAGAAATATTTTGTTCTTGCTATGTCCTTGTCGGTGTGCAAGGATCATTATTGATTATTATGATTTTTAAGTCTCAGTTTTTATATTAGTGTTGATTTTTTTTCCCTGAATTATTAGTGTTGACTTTTATTTGATAGAATGTTTATATATTAAGATATATTTATTTTTTGCCATGTTGTTTGTAGGCTTCATTGCCCATTAGTTACTTTCGGTCAGATAAAATTTCCTGTATGGAAGCTTCAATTTCACTTTTGCACACTGTCATGATCTTAAACAGCTAGTATACGAATAAGCTACATGAGTCTGTGAAATTCCACTTTCACCGGTCCTTTGGCTACTGGTATATACTGTCTGCTTGAATTCTGAATATAAACTAGTCATCATTTCTCCACAATTTTATTTAATTGTTATTTAACTTCAATATTCTGGTCACGATATAGACATCTCAACACTCATCCAATCTTAATTTCAGTTACATGTATGCTTATATTTACGCTTTTTGCTCAAGAACTATATTTAGCTGATATCTTTGGTGTACGATTTTCGATTTATGGACGTTGGGCTTGTTTGGACGTCTTTTAAAATGGAACGTTCCATTTTATTTATTTATTATTATTATTATTTATTTATGTTATACTTGGAAGCTCAAGTTCATCCTTCAGCCATAACTACTGTGGGGGAAATCATTTGAAATTCTTCAAATAGACGTGAACAAAAGATGCACAGATTCTAAACGACATGAAATCAAGACACTTTTAATTTTCCATGGGCAATATTGCTTCTTGGAAGCTTGTCTACTGCCTTCAAGTGCATCTCATAAATCATCTCATATTTGCCTCTCCCTCTATCTCCCTTGTCCTCCTCCTCTATCAAACAATCTTTGTGGTACTAAGTGCTATTTTTTTTTTTTTTTGTAATGCTTCCTTTTGTAAATTCTTCGATTTATCTACTGACATAGGAGAAATTTTACAGGAAAATCAGGGGACTGTAATAGGGACATGGTTGAGAATAATGCAATTACTGAGCCAGGGATGGAAACCATTGTACAATTTGATAAGCTGAAGCTGGGGGAATCTTGTGTCTTGGTAGATGGAGGCAAACTTTGTTTTGTTTCTCACAGGGAAGACGGAAAAAGGTCATACAAGGTACACTCTCTCTCTCTCTCTCTGTGTTACACACACACACACAACATTCTCGTTGATGGAACTTCTCATTGATGGGATGTTTCCTTTCAGAAAAAGATCCAGGAAGCTTTCTCTTCAAAAATGAGGTTAGCAAGGAAACAGGAGTACGAGCAGCTTGTGGTACAATATGAAGATGTTGGCACAAGGTCGTGCCAGAAAACAGGAGAGAATTGGGTGCCAACTCTTACCATGGATGCAGAGACACACAATTTACCAACCACCGACTTTTGCGAGTCTGAGTGGGAGCTTCTCTAGACACCACTATTCACAAGGCTTCTGTAAATAAAGATTTCACTTGATTGTATCTGGTTACCCCATACAGTTGTAGGGGATAAAGAGTACTATACTGGATGTCATTAATGGCAGCTCAATCTCTCTCCATAAAACATTACATTGAAGTGGTACAATAGCATAATGATCCACATTTTAGTGGTTAACTGATATATGGGGTTTATGTAATGATTAAAGATATGTATGCATATGATGCTGCCCTATTTACTTTTTAACATGTAGTCTCCTATAGTGTTCTTATTAATCTTCCCATGTCAGACCTTGTTGCTGATTACTGATTCAACTTCTAGCTATTTGGTCGTTGCATACAGTTCATTATGTTACTAGACAAGGGGATGACAGCAATGGAAGATGAACTCTGCTGTTGATGGTTATCTTTCTAGGGTTTGCGGCAGGTAAGGTTGGGGGTAATAAAAGGCGAGGTATCCATTCATGGTCAGAGGTGAATACATACATGATATTCTGTAGATTCATCATTCGTTCGAAATTAGACCAAGTCAGAGTTACATCTGGTTCTACAAACTTAAATTTGTTAGAACTTGTCTCAACTTGGTTCCCAATTCCTATCCCGAAGTTCTTCAAATTAGTCTGGCCGCTATAACTAACCAAAAGCAATTAAATTGAAACAGTGTCTACGGATGGAGTCGATATATTTCTTGAGTCGCAGGAACACTCTGAATCTTAAATTTTATGTTCCTGTGCAAAACAAAAACAATCAATGAGGATCAAACAATCACATGTGACGAACTCGCACTGTCGCTAGAGGTGTCAAGCGCCAGATGTGCAAACAATAGCCTGTTCCATGTATCCGGCAGCCCCGGCAGGCACCAATGGCTGCAATCGGAGAAAGACCTGGGCTTCCCTTTCTTTGTACCGTACAACGTTGGATGTGCATCTTTCCGGTACTGCGATAGCTTGGTGATGTTCAAGTACTTCACCGGTGTCCTCATTTCACTGATTGTCCTCTCGACAACCTCAATCACAGGCTTTGGAAATATTGGCTCATAGGACTCATCCATGATGGGTTTGGTTTGATTGTAGCACCAATTCTTCCCTTTGTGTTCAGGCGAAATGCTCCTGAAAAACACACTAGTTTTGGTTGAATCCACATTACTATCAACCCATTTTGCCCAAGTCTTCATGGCCATTTCAAGTGCGGAGATTAATTCAATATCCTCTACCAATCTTCCGTTGCGTTCAAACAAGTCCCACCTGCAATTATGCAATATTAAATGTCAATTTCCAATTGTTGGAGAAAAAAATATATAATAATAATCCAAATGGTTGAAATTCATGAAACTTGACCAAAATCACATCCACTTACGCTCTGAACTTTCGGAGGTGCACCCACCAATGACCGGTGTTGAATACCATAAGGTCGGCCCCTTGCCAACGGTGAGCCATGGTCACAATTTCATCTAGCCTCAAAACTTTAGTGCCATTGGTTTGGTCTGTGTATAGTTCCACAAGAAATGGGCTCCAGTAGAACTCCACACTACAATTGTAGTCCTGTATCATTCAAAACAAGAATCCCACTAGTTCAGGGTTCCACACACATATATACACAGAAATATACACAGCGTATATGGATATATACATACATATAACAAAAAAAGTTAAAATCTAATATGGAAGGTGAAACTGAAATTTTACTTTTGCGGTGAAGACTTTGTAGTCACCCTTTTGATAGTTGACAATAGCCCTTGAGGGAGGAATAGCAGAGTAGAGGAGACAAGCAAGAGACTCCCATTGGTTTCTGTTAAGGGAATCTCCAACTATGATCACTCTCTTTCCTCTCAGTCTCTCTAACATTTCTGTCCCATTAAACCTATACATAAAACCAACCAATCACTTGACATACTAAAACATTAAATTAAGCAAAACACAAATATATTAATCACTCACCTTGGAATCTGACAATCCTTCGCTTCCCAACTCCAACTCTCATAGTAGGAATCTGGCCTTCCGTTCCTCTGGCAGCTCACCTGATTGCTAAGAAATGGACATTTGGACTTATCATATGATGGTTTTTGCATCGGATTGTACAACCATTTTCCGTCAAATATGTTACAGTACTTGTTCTCCACCTTCGTGGCCGTTGTCTGGTTCAATATTTGTGATCCATTTTTAGTAAAAATTGTTGGTGGGATATTAGTGACCGAAAATCTTGTCTGGTTCAATATTTGTGATCCATTTTTAGTAAAAATTGTTGGTGGGATATTAGTGGCCGAAGATGGGAGGTTAGAGGAGGTTGAAGAAGTGAAATGTTGGTTGGGACGACGAAGACACAAAAGAAGCATGAAGCAACCTAAGAAGCTTACAAATATACAAACCTTCCATCGCTCGTTAATGGTTGAAGTATAAGAATTATAGGATTTTGAATCCATAGCTAGCTATCATTCACAGCAAACGCAATATCACATATATATATATATAAATTGGAGAAGGTTGTTTCAGAAGTCAACGTATGTTCAATTGAAAAGAACACCAAGAGTGTGTGACTGACAGTGGTCTTCACTTTCTAATTAATATGTTGTTTGTCTATATATAGGAGTAACTTGATAAATGAAGCGTCAATATACATATATATACACACAAAAAATAGGTTGATATATATATATATACAAGTGTTAAGAACAGAGATTATATATTACCGTATTTGTAGAGCAATATGATAGGAGTCTCTTCATGATGGGCTCTATCACATTATTAACTACATTGGTTTTAAATTAGTTATTATCTACAAGAGTAATATGGGGTACTGATATTAGTTATTATCTACAAGAGTAATATACTCTATATATCTTCATTCTTTTTATGTAAAGCCAAATGATGTTTATATAGTGTATATATAAGATTTTTAATTTAATTAATTAGATTCATTATATAATTAGAAAATAATTAGAATTGAAATGATATGTAATCAAATAAGTATAGGTAATTTACGAAATTCAACATGTACTTTGTGTGTGTGTGTGTGTGTTTCCACATGTAATGCATAAGGGGGGAGAGATAAAGAGATTGAATTAAAAAAAAAAAAAAAAAAAAAAAAGAAAAAGAAAAGTGGTTTGCATCAAAAGTCAGTAAACAGAAGTCTTGTGAGTTGGTAAACCCTAAATAATTTTTACGATAATGACATTAAAATCCTAATGAGTATTTTCTTCAGAGCTGCAGGCTAAGTGAGGTTGACGCCTAGGACATTCATGTGAATTTGTTTCTGAGTTAGGAGTGGATTGGCCAGACTGGTATTTTGAAAATATTTTTTTTATTCTATATATATATAGATAGAATTTTAATTTGTTGTCCTAATATGTCGATTCTATCTTTGGAATTTTAATTTTAATTTCCATGGGTTTGTGTTAAATTATGTCCTTGGACAACATCATCATCCTAGTCCCATCTAGTGGCACTTGAGTAGTTTGACAGAAGAATAATAATAACAGGTGCAGCTTTATATCATGAATATGATGAGGCAGGTATTATAGCACGGCAGTAGGTAAGTAGCTACTTTAGGTTTTTGACCAATATTTGGTGGAGGTAGATCAACCAAATCATCTTTTAACCACCTCATTAGGGAAATTCAACTTAGGATCTGTTTGGCTGCAGCTTCATTTCAAAGTTATGCATGATGGATTATTGAATATATGGTCACTAATTCACTAATTCAGGATTATTTTTTTATTATTTTTTTAAATTGGTGAATGATTACATGCAACAAACGACTGCACAAAATAGCAAGTATTGGTACTTTCCTAATCTACGTGAGACCATCCATTTCAGTTTTTATCTCCTAATTCTACCCACAGTCACATAATTTACATGACCAGAGTCAACAGAGCATCCCTTTTCTATAACAGAATTTCACCAAAGTGCATGATTACATATGATGCATGTATGTATGTGTTTTGTGTTAGAAAGGAAGAGAACAATATATATATATATATATAATTACAGTATTATGGAGCAAAAATCAAGCTTTTAGAATTCCACCTTATTATATTAAAAAAATGGTTTGTTACATATATCCTTAGACAACTCCACACTTAGCTAGTGTAAAACATATGGTGAATATTATTTATAAGAAATTGGCCTTTTTTTTTTTTTTCCAAAATATTTTCTCCAACTACCTGCAATAAATGCATTGAAGAAACTACAAATACACCAAAAGGCCTGCTTGTTTTGCTGAAGACTTGAAACTTTTAGGTGGTTCTCTCTGGAGAGTGTAAACTAATAGGGACATAGGACAGACTCTATCAGATAATTTAATTTTGTTAAATATATATAGATAATTTAATTACTGAATTTCAAAATGAATCGGTGTGATGTGATTGTAGAGTGTAGACCATATCTTCTAAAAAAGGGAAGTGGAAATGGACACTGTTTTGGTATGGTTGTAAAAGCTGGGATTAATAAATACAAGGACGGTGTTCAAGTTTATGAGCCCATACATTTCCCCACAAAAACTAACTGCCAATATACTTAGCACTGGCAACAACGATGTCGTTTTAGCCCTTCCTTCCTTACAAGGAAGGGATAATATCTATTGTGTTTGTCATTTTAACTACTTGGGTCCTTGATTACTACTGTACCTGTATCCAAATCAAGAAGAGACTTTGGGTTTTCTTTATACTCCCCAAAAAAAATTTATGGGCCGATAATCTTATGGGCCATACCAATTGGGAGCCGATTGGGTACTCCCTAAGAACTTTTTAATCCCTTTATTCTAGTGAATTTAATGATCTTATTCGTTATTATGTGTCCATGTGTTTTGTGTATTATGTTTTTGTTATATTTTTGAACTTGCAGATCGGAAAACCAGTGACCAACCATAGGTAAGAGAAGAAAAAATGCTGCTTCATTTGTCGTCATCAAGGGATTTTAGGCGTTCACCATTTCGAAATCATGTACCAACACTACTAACTACTTACCTGGGCCCATTAATCTAGCCCAACTTTTAGCCCACACAAGCTGTATGGAGTTAGTAAGCTGCGCCAGGATACATTATACACTCCATTTGCTCAGCACAGCCAAACTTGAAAGATATGTGGTTTCGACTTTTGGTGGCTCATAATGGTAATGAGCGTTACAGGAACTTGGGCCTTACAAGCCCAAAATTCTGGTTGTCTTAAAAGTTTTACCCAACTAGTCTGTCCGAAGACCAATCGTCTTGTAAATCATTACACACACACACACACACTTATATATATTGGTGATTTCTTGTTCATATTCTAACAATTATATTTCAAATCCACCTTTATTCTTTTTGAATCTAACAAAATCATTATTTTTTCAATTTAAAAATTTCTTAAACCACTTTTCTTCCTCTTTAAAGTTTCATAAACTAATATTACGAAAAGAACTATGGTTCCTTTGTTTCTTGAGCTTCCTTCCACGTGTTTGTATTAATAAATAAATATTACTTTTATTTATTTATTAGTAATTAATCAATATTTCAATTTAAAAGAGTTTTTGGCCCAATAAATTTGGGTAAAATATTTCATGCTTTTCATATCCTCCATATGGTAGAGATCGGCTGATATAAGAGTGGACCAGAAGAGGGGTCAGCACGTGATCCCTTTGATAGCCGAGAGATGAAGATGCCCAGGGTGTTGCATAAGAAATTGACTATCAGGAATTTACCACCAAAAAAAATATAAAAAAAACAAGTCTAGCAAGAAGCTCAAGCATAAAGATGATTTGGTACTATGCAGTATCTGCAAACTGAAAGTAGCAAAAACCTCCCCCTCTCTCAATATTTGTTTTGATGGAAGATAGTTATTTTGTAATATTAGTTTAGGAAACATTAAATAAGAAGAAAGTTGTTTAGAAACTTCAAAATACGTAAAATAGTGATTTTGTTGGGTTAGAAAAAGAAATAATGGATTCGTAATAGAACCATTAGATTATATTTAAAAGTTTGGGAATCTAGCTTTATAAAATTATTAATTTATTATATTAGTTGTGAATGAATTATTAAATATATTCATAATGGGTTTATATGTTATAATAAATAATATTTTAACTTTTCAAATGAGATATTTAATTTAGAACAGACTAAAATAAAAAAAGGTGCAACATTAAATTTGAGATGAAGAAAGTATAACTTTTAGGGCCATTTAAATATTGGGAAGAAAAAATCTTTCAGAAGTATTTTACACTATGGTGCCTTTTATCATATTCAAGGTTACATTCATTTTTTTTTTTTTTTTTAAGTATTCAAGATTACATTTTTATGGTCGTTTGTCTGAACAGTGACCCCAAACTCATTGTCTAATATACATTTTAAATTATAAGAAGATAAAACTGCAAAAAAAAAATTCCTTAATTTTCAAAAGGAAAATAATAAGGGGGCCGAAGTATCACCGCCGAAAAAACAACCGAATCTTGACGTGGCAAAGCCATGTCAGATTCTATACCCGCAACCAACAACTTCAGCCGGGGGCAAACTCCAGCCAAAAGTGCCGGCGTGAACCACCGTATTGAACCGCCGCCGCCCATCATCGGATCGTCCCCATCGCCGGTCCCTCTCCACGGCCGTCGTCTTCTCCAAGCTGGCCATCTCTGTTACCGCTACCATCTTCAAACCGCCCTCACAGCCCGCCATCTGTCTCGTCGGAGATTGAGAAGTCGTCGTCGCAGATTGAGTTTCTCGACGGCGACGGTGACGGCGACGCCACTGGAGAGACAAGCCTTGTAAACGAGGCCGAAGCTGCCGTCGCCGACCCAGCCATCTCCATCTTCTCATCACAGTCGAACCACCACAGCCGAATCCATCCTCACCCATCTTCGTCGGCTCCAGCAATCCTCATCTGTCTCGCCGGCGTGGAAGTGATCTGTCTCGCCGGCGTGGAAGTGATCGTCGACTGGTTGTCCTTTAATTTTCAGATCCGCCACCATCACGGCTGAGTCTATCACGGCCTAGTCTCTAAGACATCAGCCGGCCATTCAACCCATAAGCCGGCAGTTCAACCCAGATCAGCCACGGCCGAGCCCCGAACCGCCCCCACCTGAACCACCAGTCACCGCCGTTGTGAGATCAGCCGCGCCTGTCACCTTCCCTCCCTCCTTTTTTTTTATTTTTTATTTCTTTTACCTGCACTGAGAATCTAACGTGGTTTTGCCACGGAAGATACGGTGGTGATTTTTTCGGGGATACTTTTCGGTTCCCTGTCACTGACCTTTTCAAAAAGTGGCAAAATAGCTCCCGTTGATTTTCGATCAAACAATTATCAAATTATTTCATGTAAAAAAAAAAAACAAGCAGTAATATTCGCACTCCGCAAATATTGCAATTCACACTTGTAGCAAAAAGACCAAAACACCTCCCAACATCATTAAATTCCCAATATGCCATTAATACAGCAAATGTCTATATCACCCCTCATGTAATTGACAAATGACATACAACACAATTAATTACAGCAAAGAAAATAATTAGGGACCCAGCAATAAAATGAATGAATGAACAAATGTGA